ACAGTCAAATTAGCCCCAATACTGCAGAAACCCAGAATTAGTCACATTATTTATGCATATGTTAATGAAGACCCTTATGTTATGGAGTGGTAACCGCAATCGAAGCAGGTTACAATCACATTTACACCGTTAAACGAGCATAACTTTTCTTTGTCAGGCTTTGGATTCCAAGATCAAAGAACGTACATTAATATCCTGTAGCGACTGGGAACCAGTAATAAGAAGAACATCATTAAAATCACAATTATCTGTAACGGTTGACACTGTGTCTTGTCATGCGCACCTCCTATAGTTCACTTTGAATAGCTCTTACAACGTTCTATGGACAAGTTACGTCTTGACCAAGCATTCAGTTTGAAGCTGAAAGAACGTAGATTAATCTCCTGTCAATGAAAATAACAATAAACGACCAGAACACGGTTCAAATCGCATTTAATCGCGGAATACAACGATTTTTTGACCGGTGGCGCCACCCGTGGCGAATCGCTGAAACTACTAGCCAATTTTACACTAGCAGTTTCAGCGATTCGCCACGGATGGCGCCACCGGTCGAAAAAATAGTGGTATTCCGCAATTAAATGCGATTTTAACAGTGTTCTGGTTGTTTATTGCTATTTTCAATAACAGGAGATTAATCTACGTTCTTTCAGCTTCAATCTCAATGCTTGATCAAAGTGAACTAACCGGGGTACGCATGACGAGAGACAGTGTCAACCGTTGCAAACAAATGCGATTTTAACAATGTTCTTGTAATTACTAGTGTCCAGCCCTTAGAGAATAGTAATCTACGTTCTTTAAAGGTTGTATCTAATGCAAAATGAAGAAGAATCATGCCCGTTTAGCGGTGTAAATGCGATCTAAATATTTTGCAATCAGGTTGTCGCCCCATAAGAGGTTACGGTAATACAGGCATAACTAATTTTATTAATTCAGGGGTTCTACACTATTGGGTCCATGCATTAAGTCCTGAGGGACAATTTGAGACTAATGACGTTCATTTTAAGTGCTTAATTACTGAGATATTTGCATTTTTCCATCACTTGAAATTTTCACTCACCTGTCGGTATTATTTGGCTAGCAGTTTGAGCGAATTGCCACGTGTGGCGCCACCGGTCGAAAAAATAATGGTATTCCGTAATTAAATGCGATTTTGACAGTGTTCTGGTTGTTTATTCTTATTTCCAATGACAGGAGATTAAATCTACGTTCTTTCAGCTTCAAACTGAATGCTTGATCAAGACGTAACCTGTCCATATAACGTTGGAAGAGCTATTCAAAGTGAACTAACCGGGGTACGCATTACGAATTACAGTGGCAACCGTTGCAAACAAAGATGATTTAAACAGTATTCTGGACGTTGATTGGTATTTTCAATGACAGAGGATTAATCTACGTTCTTTCAGCTACAAATCGAGTACTTGGTCAAGACGAAAGCTGTCAGCACAACGTCGTAAGAGTTGTCCAAATGTGAACTACACGTGAAGCGTATGGCGTGAAACAGTGAAGTGACTGGAAGTGACTAATATGCATGGGGAAGGCAGGCAGATATAGTACATACATCTGACACACCACGCGGTGTCTCTTACGTATTCTCCGGGGGTTCTATGACCCCAGTTTGCCACCCACGGGGGTTCTCTGGCATATTCTCTGGGGTTCTATGGCCCCACCGTGTTCGCCTTCTTGGATTTTTCAAATAGCGCGGGAAAAATGGGGAATTAGTGGTTAGTAGATTTTGTTTATTTACGAGATGGTGGTTAGTAGATTTAGTAGTTACTGGACGGTGGTTAGTAGATTTAGTAGTTACTGGACGGTTGTTAGTAGATTTTCTTTATTTACGAGATGGTGGTTAGTAGATTTTCTTTATTTACGAGATGGTGGTTAGTAGATTTTCTTTATTTACGAGATGGTGGTTAGTAGATTTAGTAACTACTTAATTTCCATTAACTGAAGCATCGGTTAATGGAAATCGTTACAAAATGGAAGTCACACTACCAATGTAAATCTACTTTAGTAAACAACGCACTAGGAAATATTCAAAAATAAACATAAAAGGAGAAAAAGACTGATTATGTCTTCTTAGGGATTGCACTAAATGAACCGAGGAGTTGAAACATGTGGAGAGTTCTCATACTTTTATTCGCTGACAGTATCCATTTTCGTGAAAGCTATATTATTGTCGAGACTGTAAAATTAACGTACAATCGCTTACAAATTATATATTTAACGGAGTTAGTAAGAAACTACAGTCGATCACAAAAATCAGAGAAAACGAATCATAATAATAATACTAACTATAGTTCTGTACATTTCATTTTGTTTCCTTCTTTCGTATGCCATCATTTCAAAATGATAATCGTAATAATAATAATAGTTAATAACAATAGGTATCGATGATATGATTATATCGAAATGACAATTGGCAGTTTCCTATCTAATATGGTACATCTTTTTAATAATTCATAGAAATCATTAACGGAGTCCGTAACAACTTTGTAACCCAAGGCCACCCCAACACCAGGAACTCTCAACGCGATTGGTAAAGAAGAACCAGCTGCCAATCGCTATACTCTCTTACTTCTCACCTGATCCCCTCCACCCTTCCCTCCCTCATTCCACAATCGCTATCCAACAAGTCGCAAAATATATAAGCGAAACTATTTAAACAATTCTTTCGTTTTCAATGTTACTTGCGCATTATGGATATCAATACTTAGATACTAAGCTTCTAGGATACGCAATCCACATGACATACCATATGATACACAATCCTTTGGTGTTCAGTCCGCCAACTGTATCCCCCTACGGAACCTCTAAACGAAAATCCTAATTTTGTATTGAACTGAAATCACATTCATTCGTTCAAGCTGCCCGACCAAAAGCATTTACACAAGGCATAATATCATTGATACTATTGAGCACACTAATTCCAAGCAACAGAACATCGAGTTACTTGTTTCTATCAATTTTTTCTTTTTTTGTTATTTCGTCTAGGTTTTCTTTTCGTTAAGGAAGACTACCGGTTACTAGTGGAGTTCGTGTGCTGTACCACGTGATTCAAGAGTGACAGGAATCAGCGAAGAAATTCGTCAAGCTATCCTTAATAATACTAAATTGTTTCGGGTCTCCACTGTGACAGCTAAGAGAATTGAAACACCAGTGACGTGATCCGATAGGTCAGAGAATTGACGAACACGATCGAATAGGAAGACTAAATAAAAGTTAACAATTGTTTTGTTTCTTATTCCGTAAACATCGTTAGTTTTTTTTCGATTTTCTTTTTGTAAGCTCACACAGGTTACGTTCTAATATCCTTTGTTTATGGACATGTATATATATGCATGCAAGCATACGCACACAGAAACAAACATACATACTCGCACGGACTCACGCACACACTTAAAAAATATCGTCCTGACGCGGCGATAGAAGGGAAAACGATTTCATTGTGATGTTTCGACACGATACAGTACTTTTAAAAAGTAGGCAAGAACGTATTGACAAGTATTATACAATATGTAAGGCAGGGACGAACGAATCGTCGCCATTATCTAAAATAAAAAGAAGAATTACATTTTTTTTTTTCATGAAGACATAGCTGAACGTATTCGAGTAAATATATAACGACATGCGCCGTTTACGATAATTAAAAGTAAAACCTGACTCGTCGATCGATTTTCTGTATATACATATATAGCTTAACATAGAATAGAGCAACTAACCCTCCTTAAAGAGCCGTGCTCGACTTTCGTTCTTTGCGAAAATGGAACTCGACTATCTCGAATAATACTTGAGGTAAGTACACCATACGAGTTGTGAACTTACGAAATTATCGCGACTGCAAAACCAACTTACGGTCCATTTGCGACAAAGTTAGATCAGGAGGAATTACTGCAAGGAATGAGTACATTGTATAGACGGACATAGAAATTTTCCAAGGAAGAAATAGCTGACTTCCTCTATAAACGAGGAATGGTTGTCTGGTACAGTTTCAAACTGTGTCTCGCTCACACCTCGCGTCGTATATCGCGACAATTTATGTTACAAGATGCCCTTTGTACGTTCCTCGTCAATCCTAACCTTACTATACCCAGATAATTATGGGATTTCATTGGCTGATGGTCGAATCCTTGCCATCTCGAACGAAATATCAAATTCATTAACAAAGATAACCCTCGAAAATATATTTTTAATTCTAATATCGAGTAGAGTTTAACGGTGTCAATGCTCGACACCTTTTCCCACCATATTAATCGCGAAAAGAAAATTGACAACATGCACATTGCGCAATTTCCTAAAATGCACAATTTTTTCAAAGTTTGAAGTTCGTTCCGAGTTCGGCTCGCAACTTCCGCTCACAAACTTATGCGTAAAGGTGGACGAGGCATCGTTTTGTTGGATGAGGAAAATTTGAACATTTCGAGTCGCTTCATCCGTTACATTTCTTGCAGGACTTGGTGCGACATCACGAAGCGTACATTCTATTGATTTCGTGCTGATAACGGTCTTGTACCGCTTTCCTTTTCAGCTTAAACGCGGCTGTAACCAATCCCATATCCGGCGACCATTGCTCTGTGCACAGTTTCACCGCGCCAGGCATCTCGAATCTTTGGAGCTTGCCTTGAATAACGGGAACAAATCGTCAGATAGTATTTTGAGTTTATACGAAACACTGATGAAAACTTATATTAAATAGTTACATTTGTTAGCTTGTTCGATCAGTTCCTGTAATACCGCTTTCTCAATCTCTGAACTATTGCACAATTCTTCTATAGATTTTCCAGTCATACCCAGACTGGTGGCAATCTCCTCGAGATAATAAGGATTAGGCACCACTAACGCCACGGTATACGTCTTGTGAGCATCTCCGTAGATACAAATATTTTCCACGACGGGACACGTTTTCAATTCTGCCTCAACTTTGCCCAATGATACATATTCACCAAGTTGCAATTTTACCAAATCCTTCTTTCGGTCTGCAAACGTGATGTTTACCAATTAACAGAAATGTACATACAGCTGTAAGACTGTCCGAATAAAAAACCATTAACGTCAGAAGTGAATCGTACCAATAATTTTTATGCAACCATCGGTATGAAACTCTCCGATGTCGCCTGTTCTAAACCATTGCCGCCCATCTTCCTGGAAAAAGTCATCTTGCGTTTTGTCCAGCAATTTATAGTAACCGGCAGAGACATTTGCTCCCCCAATTAGGATTTCCCCTCTAGGATGAGGGGTGTCTGTAACCCTGTAACCAGCCTCTTCCCAATTTTCCAAACGAATGTCACAAACCGTAGTTGGTGCTCCAACTCTTCCTGTACTTCTATCATGCACTGGAAGAAAATATTACACGGACTGAAAGAATCTATTCCAAACAATCGGATGGAGTACAGTCAGAATTGGTACAATTAGCAAAGAACGCTGAAACCGGAAGGTACACTTTCAAATTATATAAATTATATAATGCATACCATCCATAACAGTAGCACACGAGGTTGTTTCCGTGAGACCGTATCCCTGGGTCACAGTAACGCAAAGGCAATTTTTGACCTGGGTATGTGTATCAGGGGACAAAGGTGCACCTCCGCAGAGTATAAGCCTGACTCGTCCACCAAGAACTTGCCGTGCCGCTCCAAAGATATATTTGTCAAACAACGGTGTATCGTAACCACGTTTCACCCATTTCAGTTTGTACTCGTACGCAAAGTTGAAGATCGCTTGTCTGAACGCACCAGATTTCTTAACTTTCTCGTTTATGCCTTTGGAAATACGGTCAAGAATCAGCTAAAATGGAGAAGATGCTTGAATATTCAAAGTAATCTTTCGGATATTTTTATGCATAATTTCGGTACACTTACTGGCACTGCGGATAGGCAGGTCGGGTGAAGAACCGAAGCATCACCCTTGGATCCCCTTTGTATCTTGCTACTCGAATCAATCATGGTTAGTGGTGAACTGTAGCCAATGGGTACACCGGTTAGAAGACATACACTCTCAGCAAGGAGTTCGAAAACGTGAGCCAACGGTAAAAATCCCAAAAATACATCATCTGGCTTAATTTCCACAGCGTCGCAGTATGCCTTCAAGGTGGAGATGATGTTCCCATGGGATAAAAGTACACCTTTTGGCACTCCAGTGGAACCAGACGTATACATTATGATCGCGGTATCATTTGACTGGGGCGGTGACATCGGTGCAGTTGAATTGTTACCCTTTTTAATTACATCGGAAAACGGAATAAGCCTGACACCATCCTACAAAGAAGAGACATTCAAGTGTTACAGAAACTTTCATTCTTGTTTCAGTCGTTATAACACAGTCATTTGCAGTGGCAATTGTATGTTAATGAACTGAATAAATTTTCGCCCAACATGCAGCAGCACTAAATTATTATCTTCTAATTATTACGTTTATATTATTAGTATCATACAACGTTATGAATCATTCTCCTCTTTAAACTTCATAATTAACCTACTTAAGTCCAAATACGACAAACAAAGATAAAAAAGAATACACGTTTCGTTAGTATGTATCAGCATTATCATACTTCAATATTCATCAACTGGTCTCATTAATGCCTCGCAAGAGCCAGTCAATAAATTCCAACGACCATTGGAACAAATTGGATATCCTCGACACTTCGACCTCAAACTCACTTTGTAACCAGCGGTATCGGTGGATTTCAGTTGATCCTCCATGTAAATTATAGTCTTGATTACAGGTACTTTTTCGAGAAGCCGTTTGAACTTCGGCAGCAAATCGTGACTGGTGATGACGGTGTCCACTTCCGTCTCGTTGATACCATGAGCTATTGCATCGTCGCCTAAAGTCGCGTAGATCGTGACGACGGTTAAGTTCTGCTTGAAGCATCCATAAGCTGCAATCATCCACTCCGCTCTGGTCTCCGCGAAGATTACTATGTTTTTTCTAGCTATAAGTCCCAACTCCCTTATTCCACGACTGAAAGAATTGGTGAGCCTGTCCACCTCCGTATAAGTCTTCCATTTGTAGTCGCCCATTTTATACTGGAATCACAAAATGGAATGCAACTATAGCAATGCCCCTCCGTCATTCAAACCAGACAACTGGGATACACTAGGGCTGTTCGATTCCGATTCGATATTGAACTAAACGTCGAAGACATGAAGCTGCGTGATTGACCTTTCTGTCGGAGAAAATTCATTTCTCCCCAACGGAAAGACCAATTATACCAGCTAGTGTTTATGATTTTTTACGATTTTTTGGTTTCGAATTTTTAAGAGAATCGATTCTCGTGATCCCTAGTATACAGGGTGAACCACGAATCGTGATCAGTAGAGATTACTCTGTTATTAGCAATCCGATCGAAAATATTTTTATCAGGTATAGCATGGTTTCAAGAGAGCTTCAACGTGATTATAGCAAATTTTTGTCAACTCTTTTTTTTTCATGATTTTTCAAGGTCACCATCAATTTTTTTGCAAATACACCTATAATTTTTTTACGCCCATCTGTCAGAGGATTTCAAGACGAATTCGGTAAATATCATAACATAACATGTGTTACATTTTTTTTCATCTGGGTCGAGAAAAGATTAAAGAAATATTCGAACGGTAATATTGCAAAGAGTATCGTATGCTACGCTATTGTACGCGTTCCGGTGTGGAGCTCTTGCCTACCGTTTGTAAACATTTCGTTCCGTACATTGGAACACATCTAATAATATCTACTGATCACGCTCCGTGGTTTACCCTGTATACTAATGGGATTTAGTCTGGACATCTTCGAACATGGATCCTTGTTCGTATTCACACAAAGGTCGTACCGATCGTTAGCCAGTACCTTTTTAAATATTCTACCATTAGGCTGCACTTCGTCTTCCTCCGCGAGTATCTGTCTGGTGCCGAGGCACCTCTTCTCGCTGTGCAACTTGGCGACCCATGACAACATTTTCTCGAGCGTGTCGACCTTCTCACGCTCGATGGTGACGTGCATCGGCCCAGGAGGGTCAATGCTCCGGAAGGTGATCGTGTTCTCATCCTTCGCGACGCAACGCGCCTTGATCCTCCTCGAGGCCTTCCGTTTCTCCCAGGGCCGTTGCAGTATGAGGTAGACTGGGAACGTCAGCAGGTCGTACACATACGAAAGCGCCTTGATCGCGTGGATCGCGCCGGCGATCCAGAAGCCTTCCATTTCCCTGAAAGGCAGGAGGCACAAGGTTACCAGAAATCTTGTTTCCCTAATGCTTAAGCATCCTTGGCTGTCTCGCGATCTGTCATTCTGTTGTAATTTTCCAGCTCCCTGAGGATAAGTCTACTGTCTTTGGATAAGATTTCCGACGTACATATTACCACGATTGCGTATTATTAGTACTGTACACACTGTTCGGATGATTTCTTGGCGCTTTTGTGTGTGCAACGAGCAGTGCAAACTGCAAGAAACACAGGAGTAATGTGTACGGTATTAATAATGCTACTGTGGAGTATTAACATTGCGTTACCTTTAGTCTAAGTATTCCTGATCGTGTTAATATAGCATAGTATTAACAATGTTAATCCTTGTGTAGGCAACCGGGTACCTGGGTACGAAGGTACCCATTTCTAAATTTCCTTTAACAACTTTTTATGGTCTTGTCTGAAACAGCACTTGGTATATTACAGGAAGGGAAAGTAAGAGTTTCGGAAAAGTATGAAAGCAAAATTATCTATGAGTAGGAGTATTCCGATTGCTCAATAATCGTAAATAGGTTGGTTGCCTACACAAGGGTTAATGGGTGAAGAGGATTCTGGTCGCTGTGGACTAATACCCCAATACTTTTTTTTCTAAATATAGTTTAACATGAATGGACTATAAAAATTGAAATGATGTTGAAGCTACCATTATTGTTAGTACAGGTCACGTTCTGAAAATTATACAGGGTCGCAGAATCACGTTCAGATGTCTCGTCATTTGTAACAGTAATCAATATGTACAACTCAACAGAACATAAACAATCTGCAACCAGCAATGTAATTGCAATAATCTACCAGCAAGTAAACGACGTGGTATCAAACACGACACAGTCGCAGGGTTGAAGTGCGTTAGAAGGCTCGTCCATTAACTTTTGTTTAACCCTCAACTGTTATGGATCACGATGACCCAAATAGTCATCGCGATGCATCCATTCCGATCGGTTACTGTCGATTGCGGGTTAACAGATTGAACGTCAACTCTACGGAAATTAACAACAATTCAATTCCGTCAAACTATGCTTTTCGATTGAGTTTTGAATATACACAGTATGTCTGAAAAATAGCAGGACTGACAATATAATCATTGAAACACTGATCATGTTAGTAAAAACCTAGGTCTTTAGCTTATCTTCTTTATTTCTAAGCATCTGAATTCATAGACCCTTGTTTAAACGCCCTGTATAATAAAAACTAGTGTAGTGTAATATAATATAAAATATATAGTAAATTAAAGGGCAATATAAATTCCTCCAAAAACTCTATTATAATTTCAGTAAACGTAAAATAAGAAATTTGCAGTCCGTCAGTAGTGCTAGTGTTAAGGTGGCTAACGCAAATTTTTAATAATTATAAATTTAGTTGAAAATTTAACAACACCAAACGCGTGAGTTACCTTAAAACTAGAACTACCAAGCAAGTCAAAATGACAATACATTTTCTCAGATCTTTTGCACCTTTTATTACGATACGAAAGTGAAGAAATTAGTCAATTTTTAAATTTCTAAATTTTCAAAGTACTTCACGTTTATACACCGATCGAAACAAATATGCGTTTATCGTCGGTAGTTCCAGTGTTAATACATTCACAATCCCGTTATTTTTCAGATATATACTGTATGTATAAAATTTACAATCTTCTGAATATGACCAGCGCAACGTGCCAGTTCTCCTAACGAAATTCTCGCGACGGACAAGCTCGGATAGCGAGTGAGACACAGAGGCTGCTCGAGGCATGCACAGGCGCAAAAATAGTGCGTGGCTACGGGCCGGTTCTACGATCACGCTGTTTCGTAATCGGCAGATTTGATAAAGCCAAGTAATTGCTGGTTTTAACGGGCCTATCCTGCCGCCGTGCGCGTTTCGATGGCCAACGCTGATGATGAATGAAACTGCATGCGAGCGTCGAACTGAACGCGCGCGGACGTGCAGAGGACAGAGGTGAAGAGTAACGAGAATAGGAAAGCGTTTGCACCGTGTTTTATGATACAGTCAATGGAACTCCGGTGTCCAGAATATTCCAATTTTCTAAAAACATCATACTTTTGTAGAGAATCTTAATAAAAGTATCGGGCGATTTTTTCGTTTCTGCTGACAATCGATTCTTCAGGGTGAAACCAACCCTTAAATGTGTATTTTCCTATTTTCCTGTATAGTTCGAAACCTATAGTAGATATAAAAAAATGGTTACAATGAAAATTGTATGGCTTGTTATGCTCTATTAAACTGTAAAATAGAATAGTTAGAAATTTATTTTTTAAATAAATAAATACATTAAAAAACAAAGTTTTAACAATTTCATTGTACAGTTTTGTAGAGCATAAGAAGCCATTTAAGATTCATTGCAACAATTTTTTTATATCTACTGTGGTTTTCTAGATATACAGGAAAGTATAGAAGCAGTTTCAAAACAATGGGATTTTTTCTAATTACCGAAGTTCCCTTGTTACTGACATAGAGGTTGAAAATCAGTGTAATTCCAATATTGAAGTCTTCAGATTCCGTTTCTTTGATTTCATAATGTTTGACACACAAAAAGTGGAACACGTCGTGTTCCACGAGATAAGTATAAATTGTTTACCAACTTTCTGCCAATTCGTCACCACATAGTGTTTCTGATTATTTCTGGAAAATTCTCGTTCACAGGCGGGTCTCTCAAGAGCAAGAGAAAAGGCGTGTCGCGTGTGTGAGCGTTCCTCTGAGAGCATGCACCGTGGTCTAGAAAAATTTCATTCCCGGGGTTAAGTATCACTTGTTCAAATAAAGAGGACGTGTGTGCGTCGCTTAACGGAGGAACTGCACGAGACGCGGCCCGAAGGCCGATTTTCAATGAAACCATGATTCGTTCCTATTACGATCAAACGTATGCATACCAGATGTTTCTCAACTTCGAGAAATCTGGATCCTCCGCGATTCTTAAAAAGACGATTTTCTTTTCAAAAATACACTATTACTCCAATATCCATAACGTTATGAACAGAATATTATTTTCCGCCACGTGCTGAGTACAACTGAATAAAACGAAACATTCTAAAGCACTTTTGTCGAATGTAAATTCCTGTAATTTTCGGTTACTATAAAAATTCAGTAGCATACCCTAAGTCTAGGTGCCTTGCGTGAGTCCTTCGACATTTTTGTCACTGGGCTGTTGGAGTTAATATGAAAGAAATGCAACATAATTTTGTGGGACACTCTGTAAATGACGGAGCACCGACGGCTACACGCATAACCAAGGGGAGAGGGGATTGCTGTGAACGTATACGACACGAGATTCGAACATCTCCGCGGACTTTGAACGTGTTAGCCCGTGGCGGACAGGATGAACGCGGCTGAAGGCGGCGTAACGAGCCGCTCGTGTCACGCACATGGTCTCCGCGTATCTACGGTTACGAAGGGCAATGTCTCTGCACGTCTAGACCCTGTAACGTTCTGAATTATTTCTACGAGCCAACACAGCTTCCGGAACACTGTGTCTCATGCTACGGCCAGAAGAAAGGAATTTTTCGGTGCGTAAGACCGCTGGATCTTCGCCCCTAAAACAAATTTTACTTGCGTATTTATCCCTAAAACAGTTTCTACTTTAACACAAAATGTGACAAATTCAAGCTAACACTTAACGACATACGAATTAAATTTTTCTTTTACTCTCACTACCTAGTGGAGAGTTCTGGGGGCTCTAGGCATTTTAAGTACCTTCAACTGACAATAACACCCTATTTCCGAAGTGACAACGAAAAATTACATTCAGTTGGTTATTAAAAGTGTGACAAAGTTAGTCATTGTCGGATTATTCCTCTCTGAGACGAGTGTTAAGGGTTAAAGTTCCATGTAGTCCTTTGAATGAAGAATACACTGAATATTCCTAATGGTACCTAGAAGGTGTGACCTTGAACAGCCTAGACCTTCTGCTTCGATTAGTGCCGATGTCGCTTTGCTATGAGTAAATTTTCATAAAAGAATGGTAATGTGGTAACTTTATAAATGAAGAGAGAAAAAATCATATAAGAAGATTCTATTGTACAAAGTCCACGTTTCTAGACCGGGAAGAACGCTCGCGTAAAGTGCAAGGTCAGCGATCAAGGCTCGTAGTGTAAAAATGTGATAAAGATTTATCACCGATTAATTACACGGTTCACCCGCAGAGATAACCACTCCCTCCCCACTGCTGTTACGAAATCGTCTTTGAACTTCGAACAGAACCCGCGACATACATTTTTTTCGTACGTTGTAGCTAATCAATAGCCCACAGATATTCATACAAATCGACATTTTTGTGGACTATGAAACGTTACGACTGGAACAGAAATAGTATTTATGTTTCACAACATACACTTTGATTTTTGATAAATTATGTAAATATTCAGATAAAAGAAATTCCAAACTTCTTTATATGTATACAAGAGCGAAGTAAATCATGTGACGCCATGTTGAAACAACAGCCAACGCCATCTAAGTAAAATCTTCATTTCCTAATTATTTTAACAAGTTTTTAAAGACGAGAATACAATAATTAAGTCCAACGAATACAGTAGACTCTTCATATATTGCCGCGCCAGACACTTCCCCTCGATACGTACTTTCACACACATCCAGCTCTTGCGCAGGCGCTGGGGTCGGGGCAACGACGGTAAAACTTGGCGGGAGCTCTCGATATATTGCCACTTCCGAAAATTTTAATCTCCTACAGTCCCGGCCGCGGTAATATATCAGGAGTCCACTGTACTTGGTATTTCAAGTGTACAAATAAATAAGTGAATACAATATTAATGCAAAAAAGAATATAGCGCTATATATACATCTTACAGGATATGCTTTATTCTAAGAAAGGTGCGTTAGCTTTGTTGCAGATGAAGCTGTACATTATTGTGCATCTACGACAGGAACGGTGTGTCGAGAGCATGCAGCATGCATAGTGCGCGCACATGCCTAGCCGAGGAACTACGCTACAAGCGCTGTCGAGCGTCTAGAA